TGTGTGACGATGGTCCGCTGTGAGATGAAGCCGGCAGCAGGCCGGGGCTACTTCCTGGCTGCCACATCAATGAGTGACCGGTGGTTTAAGCGACAGGCGCTGCATTTTTTATGAAGGCCACACCACTCCTGCAGGTGTGGCCTCTCATGCCGTTGTCACTCTACACCAACGGCGAGTCAGAGGACTGAATTTTGACGTCTTCACGTCAGAACTGGAGAAGACGCGACTGCCTTAGCCGTTGCTTTTCTGCTATGAGCAACACGCTCCGGTGGTCCGCTTAAGAAATGAGCTATTACTGACTGAAAAAGTACCATTCTGGAGAATGATGTCCAAACCGTTTCCGTCTTAACTTTTTCACTGTGGGAACGTGAAGGGAGTATGGCACTCTGCTCACTTACAGATATGTTCCTCACACTCATATGCGTTGCCGCGGTAATGTTTCTGAGGGTTTGTTTTTTCCTTGTTTCAGTGTAGGTTCCTTCCCCTTTTTCTCAGGGTGCTTTTGAGTTGACCGACCTTTGTGTTTGAATTACATTTGAAGTAACTGCTGATGCAGGACAAAAAAAAATGTAGCCTTTTTTCAGAACTAGATCATTGGCCCCTTTTTGGACTTTGTCACGACACTGTTCATACATAAATAGAAAATTTGACTTACTTTTATTAACCTGACCTAACCCGATGTCAGCAACTGATTTCTGATTGGTTTTGGCAGGGTGCAGTTTTCATCTTACTTAAGCGGACACATATGATGAAAATATACTTCAGCAAGATTTTAATAGACTTTCAATTTTGAACTGTAATTATTTTAGTTTCCATGCATTTTCACATATGCATGAGGCCGGGTGACATAGCGGAAATGCCAGAGGGGCTTTAAATATCCACATGCCAGGAAGCCAATCTGGAGGGTGAATAAAAAAAAAAAACAAATGCAATTTTTTAAAGCATCTTCTTGTTGCACACTTGTCGCAGAATATGCCCTCCAAGCATTCTGAGGAGTATGAGGAGATTAACCATGCAGCCGTCCATACTAGCTTCTGCAAAGCAAAACAGATTTTGGCCATTTTAAAAACCTGCTTTAGCTTTTCTACTGGGGAAAAGTGAGGGTTTTTTCAGACAAGTGGAGCTGGTGGGGGCCAGCAGAAAGCCTGCCCATTATTTCTAATTGTACCTCCTACAATTGAGCAGCAAAACACACCTCATGTTGTGTTTTCACAAGTCTGTGAAGTGAAACAAGCCATTTTACTCTTGCTAGGCTCAATTTGCCTTTGTTGTGAGTGTATCGTACATCACTCTGGAAAAATCAATTGAAAATCTGCTTTATCTTTATATTGAGGCTTTCAGTCCAAAGCAACAAATCGTCAGATGTATTTTTTCAGGTGTAGTCTGAGCAGCAAAATCAAGTGTGGTAGTCATTTCATGTGCAGACAATCTCTCAAAGGAAGAGAATTCGATTGGAGGGCTGAATTTCTCCTCCGCTTCTTCAGAAATATAACAGCTGTCTACAGATATCTAAAATAAGTGGGTCTTTACGGATTTGTAGAAATGCTCTTTGTGGTTTGTGCTGACAAATTTGCCAGCTGTAAAGAGATGGAACGCTGTGAACAAACCCCAGCCATCACAATGACATACCGCTTTACATTTGCGAGAGTTGGGTGACTGGACATTGTCCTCTTCATTCATGTGCTCCCTAATGGCTGGTTTTCCGTAATAGGGCAGGGATATGTGTGTAAGGAAACGCCATGTGAAGCATTCCTGTTCCATTAAGCCTGGAATATTAAAAACAGATATCTGAAGATTTATATAAGCCCGATTTGCGTTTTCTTTTTGTGTTTTTTCAGTGAGCAAGAATCTGAATGTTATCTTTACTTCATAAATCAGCCTGTAAAATCCTGTCCATGTGACCATGATTTCCTTGTATTTTTCTTTAAATAGGTACTGCAAAGAAAGAAGGCTGTCTCGCTGTATGCCAAGCAAATTTGAGCAGAAAAGAAATCTCATTCACCTTTAGAGTATGATTGCTACATGTTCGGAAAGAAAAAGGGTCCATCAGCATCAAAATGATCTGGTCTGGACTGACAGTCTCCAACTGAAAACTATAAGAGAGACTCTTCCGGTACCTTTGTGAATTGTTCACAATATGTCCCCAATAACAGCCACAGGGGCATTGATAAGCTGTGTGACTGTGTCGACGCCATGCTGTTCGGAGACCCTTTCCTTTTATGTGCCAGTCATCATCACCATAGCCGGCAGACTGGATATCCTCAGGCCTTCCATTCAGCTCGGTGGGAGAGCGGCTACCTGCGGGCGCCTGTAGGCTCATTCTCTCTGTGCGCAATTGCATGTTGTCTGACTGTCTGAGGTATGTCTTTGGATCTTACCGGATGTTCATTTGAGGATCAACAGGAGTCAAATAGAAGTATTCTTGATATATTTATTCAAGTAAAATTTGACCCACCAGCGATAAACTAACAGTGTTTTTACAGTTGATTTTGGGCAAAATCAAATTTGAATGAACTTTGGATGCCAATATTTTTTATCTTCTACCTTTCAGTTATGATTTTTTGAGCAGGGAGACTTTTCACTGTGTCAGTAGACGGGCCAAACTTCAATTGCTGTTGTTTCATATTACATCACACTGACCCCCATCACCGCTGTCCTGCATGTACTATAGACTGTTTACACAGTTCACTGTTGGTATTGAAGTGTATTAAGCTGGCAGTGTCCTTCATTTCTTCTGGTTATTGTTGACTTTTCAACTGTAGTGTGACAAAATATCTTCTCTTGCTGTTTTGAACTTTATTTGTGTTCGAAATTTGACGGATAAGTATTCTCTGCCTCTATGCCGTTTGATTAGATTTAGCCACGGCTCCAAAAAAAGGCTCATCGTGCTAATGCGAGCGTGTCGTGGGGACAGTAGCCGGCTCTGTTTCTGGATAAGCCTGTTGCTTTGCGGAATAAAAGCAAAAGCCGACATGGAAGGTGATAAAAAGAGCCTGCGGGACAGAGATGTTCAGCCCGTAATGTGATTTACCCCTTCAAATGTGTTGCTTTTTTTAGCGTTCATTCAGTCTTGGGCAGCACATTTAATTTGAGTTTTTCCACAGTCAAATGTGATCCAGAACATGAGCCATGTGTCATCACGGGACAAACAAGTTCACATGTGCGCTCTCACAGACAAGCACATTACTGCGCTAATGAGTGATCTTCCTCATGTTGACAGCGTGATGGGATGTGGGCTGGAGCATAGCAACATGACCTGAAGGCAGGATGGACAACACAAAGACCCTCTTATAGTCATCCGTCCCTGCCTTCCAGCGCCGGGCACATTCGTTTCTCATGTGATCTTTTGCGACAACAAATCTTCCACTTCCTATAATTCGTCGACTTTGTGTCTTCTGCATACTTTAGCAACACCAAAAACAACAAATATCGCCACATGTTTTACACATCCAGACATCAGCGGCTGGTGAATTGAAACTAGCCTCGAACGATGTGTTTACAGGCCGCGGTTTTATTAGCTTCCACTGAACTGCTCCAGCCTTCGATTTTGAGTCAAATAGAATAAATACACTCATTAAACCTTGAAATAATGAAAATAATTGCAAAAATCAAGTCCAAAAAATTAAATCACACTAGTTTCTCACAAATTATGGTCTGGGTTGGATTCAGCTGTTGTTTTTCTGCTTAAAATGCTGCGTGTACGCAAAGTTCAGGGGGTTTGTGCCTTTGGCCTCGTTGCACAAATGCTTTTTTTTATCTTGGTCGTTACTCTGCAAATATGAACGAATCCTGTTCAAAGTCAGACACATTCACAAACGCGACTAATTAAATGTCTGAATAATCTACAAGGCTGCTCTATTTTTCTATATAAAAACATCCCAGAATGGGACAGCCATGTTATGCAAACGTGGGGCTGCAGATACGATCAGAAATAAGTTATGGGCTTAATTCTACCCTCAGCAGTTTAACTCCGAGGCGTTATTTATAAATGCTGGCTAAGAGTGGGTGCGATAATGCATAGGCTCTGGCCGAGCAGCTGAGCTGAGGGACAGACGGAGGAGGGTGGAGACGGCAGAGAATATAGCTGACGAGCGAGGCAGAGAAGGATGTTTTCAAGGCACAAGAAAAAAAAAACAATTATTCTGCTAGTTTGAACAAATGGGATCTTTAATCTTGTCAAAACAATAAAAAGATCGAGCCTCAGAGAGCTTAGCTAAGTCGATCAGATGATGCAGTCGGGCTTCAAATCACCCTCACATGTCTACACTGGACTACACTCAAATGAGCTTCAGTGCTCTGAACACGCTTTTTCCATGCATGTTATTATTACAACTCAATTGCAAAAACAAATGTGTGCGAGCAATAATTCCTAATAACTGACCTAATTTTGAAGTTCTCGTTGGCAATATTTACCAGAAAGAGGACTCCGCATACTAAAATTATCCGCATAAATCGAGTCGTAAATTAATGGAAGAAAAAGGAACAAGTGTGTGTCTCTGACTGTTTTACACCAAAGGTAGTGGTTTGAAGATTTTTCTATAGCAGCTGCACATCTGCTGAAACAATTTTCTTTTTGCTATATGAATGTGGCCGCTTGATCATCATTGCTCTAAATGTCACAACTTACATATTCTTGTTGTTTGACTGGAGCTCAGTTATCAGCCCCCGCACCATGCACAGGAATAGCTGTTGGATACTACCGTATCAAAGGCCGGAGAATGAAATAATGAAAGGTCAGACTCTTCTTTCATCTGTTAAAGGGCATTAAAGCAGAGCTCAGGTAAGGACATTGTAAACACAGGGTAAAAATGATATGTATGTGTATATTTATCTCTCTGGCTCAGACAATGTTTTTCATCTGTTCTGTGTTAAAATAAGATAAATGTATACAATGAACTGTAATACTTTGATTTAATTTAATTAAAGGTCATCAATTGAAATAATAGAAAGTGTATGTATGCAAAAGAGTGGAGTTTAAACAGTTTTGATTGATATTAGACATGGGGCATCAGATGGAAGAGTTTTGCACAGTGGAGGTCAGACTGCTTTGCTTAAAAAGTAGCAGGTAAGAAGATCCTTACACCCAACAGTGGCGAGAGAATTAACAATGAGGTGGAAAAGTACTGTACCAAAATCCAGGAAAGGAGGGCAGAAAGAGAGGCCAAGGTCGTCCTTATGGAACTGAACAGAACCTGAAACATGTTGGGGGTTAAAAAAAAAATGCCGAAGCCCTTGTTGAGCTTTGGAAATTGCTGCGCTGTATGGTAATCTTTCGGGAGCTCGGCGGGGTTATTGCTGCCTCGCTCTGTAAGAACTGTTGTGCCCTCTGCATTCACGGGGTTGAGACGGCTGTGAGCGGTGGGTGGCACTTCATTTTCCTAACAGGAAGCGCTTGCGTTTATGAATAGCCGGTTTCCTCAGAGGAAAGAGTGGGTGACACCAGCGTGTGTTTGTTTTTGTCTATGTCACAATCAAGTGGATGAACATGAAAAAGCTCTCAGATGCTCATATCAGCCTGTGATGGTGGCAAGCTAACAAAGGACACCAAAGAAATATGAATAATATGAATTACTGTCTGCGGTCAGTCGTTGATTTTGGCTAAAGTTGGGATAAATTACTTGTTTTCGTTGACTTTACCCAAGATAGAGATTCTTTCAGACGCCTGCTCTCCGTTTTATCGAGATTGTTGAAGCTGTTTTCTCTGGTGAGTTCGAAAAACGCAATATTACGAGATGCTGTGACTGGTGTCTGAAACACACTGTTTTGATAAATTCTTTTCATCAGTGTACAAAGAGTTCTACTGGCAGGCTCTTAGTGTCAGATGACTATAAAATCTGAACAAGTGAGAGTGACATGAATTTATTTATTTTTTCTTACCTCTTTCAGCCAGTAAGAGGAGGTCGAGCTGCTTTAGGTTAGTGTTTTATGTGTTTGTTTTCACCGGTTGTGTAACGCTAACTGGAACTCATTCTCTTATTTAGTCATCCAGCGATCTTTGCTCATAAATATGCCATATCTGTGCACAGCGGGTGAGAAGGGAAAAAAAAAAACTTTGTGAAGACAGTCAGCAACGATGAATTTCACTCGTGGTTCAGTGGCCTGTTGTTCAATATTAAAGAGAAGAAAAACATTTGCTGGATGTTAGTCAGTCATTCAGCTGGCAATTCATCAGTTTGATGAAATTACTTTCTGCTGTTATCAGAGTGTTGAATTGGTTTAGCTCCTCCGTTAAGTGTTTGAGTGTGAGGAAGAGGGAGAGAGAGCGACGGACAGAAAGGAAAAATCCTCTGGCTGAGCAGTCTGCAGTAAATCCAAACTGGACTAGAGCAAATATGTTGTCAGTTTAAGAGCGGCTTTGAAGTTGATTCCGAGGTCATTCTTTTGGAAAATATGGCGGTAATCTTAAAAGAGAATAGCAACTGTTACTCTTCTGTGGGTTATCCGGGACATGTCTTTTGTCTTTTATCGTCTTTTGTCTTTTTCTGCCACAGACTGATCAAGATCATATTATTTGGCTTCATAGGGCTTTCTCTTTTTTGGATCAGGAGTCGCACTGCTTCTGGTGCTTTCAGGGGATAGCTGTAAAGCCTGTGCAAGCAGTTGCAGTGAAATATAGAAAGCAAAGAGTGTGACAAAGAAAAAATACCCACTTTGTTGTTAAGAAAATGACACTAGTGCTAATTTACGTTTCAGTGCATGCACAACTTCCTCTTTTTACAGTACAGGTACTTATGTGCCTGGGAGGTGTTTAGGGTTGGAATACTGCAGGATCCCTTTGTGACCCATGAATGAGGCATCCTCTCTGCATGTGTTCACACTGAGTAAAGTGGCAAATTGCATTTTTTTATCGGTGTGTTTGTCTGTTACATCCGTGATAACTTTAGCTGAAAACGGCACCCAGAATGAAGACCCGGTCTCTCTCAAACCCCTTTCTCACTGATCAGTTATTGCTTGACAACAAGAAAAGATGTCCTTGTCGCAAACCAGACAGAGGGGGCTCAGGAGGCTCCTGTGTGTGTTTACACATGGTAACCTGGCATGCAGAATCAATGACAGTCTTCCCTTAAGCAAATGGACGTATATATCCCGTTTCTTACTGGACGTATCAGTGGCAGATTGACTTTATCCCCCATGCAGCCTCTGTTTTGTTATTCATGCCACCAATGCTCATCAAAGTTTCATCCGTCGTGGCTTAAAAGGCACGTGCGAAAAGACCTAATCATAGCTGGGTGCCATAATTTTCAGAGACAGAAAGGTACATTTGGGCCAGACCTTTTTCTCTACTTGCTCTCTATACAAGCACATCGCTATGCCAAAGATGGGCGTCTCAAGCTGGAAATACGAGTGAGGATTTGTTAGGAAAAGGTTGCTTGAAGTAGCACAGAACTGAGACATTTGCTGTGTTTCTGAGTTGATAAAAGCAAATGGGGTTCCGTATTGTGTTGAAATGAGCACTGAGCAGCAGTGAATGCTTAAGAAAACTTCCTGATGTGTCTATCGTCTTCTTTGAGACTGCATAGAAACTTTCCTGAAGAAGTCTTGATTGAATGCTGCGGACAGATGTTGTCTCCGATGCCACTGTTTCAGGACATGTCAGGACCCCCGTGCACGTGTGACGTGGCTCACAAACTTTGAAAGCAGCGAAAGCCACTTAACGCATTGTTTGCCTTTGTTTGCCGCAATAAAAGTCACATCATATCTTTGTCACATCCTCTGGATGAAATTACTGAGGCCTGTGCTGAGAGAGGTGCACTTAGCTCAAGTGTGACAGATGGAAAAAATACATTCTTAAGGCGGAAAAAGTGTAAACCTGAAGAATAAAGCTGCGGCACAGAGGTGCTGAGGAGAAGTGGGCCAAAAATCCACATAGTAAAATACAGATGCTCACATATTTGTCTGGAGTTTTATGGAGGCATGTGGGATCCCGATGCTCCGCTCAGAGTGCAGTTTAGGATTGGGAGTTGTCACATTTGTTATAAAGTGTGCTTCAGGCATGGTAGTTCACTTTAATGCGGACACCTTTATTTCTAATTAGCCTTTTGGGCAGCCCAAACACTTATTTTATCCTGAAAAAACGGTCTTATCGAAGCCAAACATATGTCTCCTTTTCCTGAAATTAATTTGTATATGTATATTTGTTTTACTACTGTCTTGAGGCAGTCACTTTATTTTACACCCATTTTCCATTTACTCATTAAACTAAGGAACTTTTAGAAAAGTCGCTGAACACAGAAAAACTTCTAATGATGTTCTCAAACCTAAAAAACATTCAGATGTGAAGATAAAGGTGTTATTAATTTTATGCAGCAGTCTTAATGCGTTTAAATCCATCTAAACATACAAAGTGCACTTGCTTACACTTAGTTTTTTAGTAATAATTTCTGTTCCTTTTTTAAATAAAAAATGACACGTGAAAATCTGAATGTGTCACTGATCTGCATCAAGTGTCAGGAGATTTTTTTAACTCGTTCAGTTCAAACAAACAAGCGTGACATTTTTGTTCATTTCGAATGAAAACAGATTTATGCTCTCATCTCCAGCACCCACGTTGCCTCTGTTGTTTTCCCATAAAAGGATTTTTAATCGCGGCAGCTTCAAAATCAAAACGTTTGCCTCAGGACGTGTACGATAAGGTGCTACGTTTCCATCTCTAATAAAAGCTGAAAAAGAGAAATCTGTTCAACTGACTTTCCTTTTTGACCGTCTCTCTGCTCAGGTTTTTTGTTGATGCTCATGTCCTTGTGAAAATAGAGAACTTCCTCAGAAGTACCCAAGGTTGACTCACTTCCTCCTTTTGGTCTCTTTCTCTCTCTCTCTGTCTTTTGTTCTCTCTACTTTTTCTTTCTCTCTCTCTCTCTCTCTCTGTCTTTCTCTGTTTTAGAATTTCCTGCTGTTACACTGTAACACAGATCTGAAGGTAAGGCTGATTTACAAAGTTGTTTTGCTTACTCTTCAGAAAAGCTTGTAATGTGTCTCAGCATGGAAAGTGTTGCATGTCATAAAGATAAAGAGATCTCAAGTTCAGGTCGGGACATTTGAAAACTGTGAATAAAGTGAAACTATTAGTGAGAAGCATGCCATTTTTCTCACTGAGGTGGGCAGACAGCACCTGGAGCCTGCACCAAAGAGACTGGCCAACACCACTTTTTCCTTGTGTCTTTTGGCTGCATGGTGAATATTTGATGATTTAGCTCATTGGCCGTCTCGCGTAGGCACATTTTTATTTCTATGTGATGTAGAATGATGCAGAAACCGGCCCTACACGCACAGTGGGTGTCACAAAAAGAGCTGGTTGAAAGGTTCTGTGCTCTTCCTGTTCAGTTCCTCCTCCAATCAGCTGATAGTTTGACTGCTGATGCTTGCAGTTGATTCCCTCACAGATAAAACATGGAAGAAACAAATATGACTTGAGCTCAGTGTTCTTGTGGGGCTGTGAAATCAGGTCTTTTTCATGCTGTCTGTATGTAGTTTACCCTTGTTTCTGCTGGGACTGAAGCACCAACAGCCGGTCATTTACCGTAATCACATTTAGCTATTTCATAAAACACTGGCTAACGTTAGTTTTAAATAAGCTTTTTTGGCAGAGGACGATGTCAAGCACAATATGTTATTGTTAGAAACATAGTAAATTTGCATTAATTAGTAGATGAAGGATGCTAAAACTGTGTGTTCAGTTCATCCAAAAATGTACATTCACATTAAGATGTGTGATGTATTTACTGGATACTACAACATCCTCTTCTGCTGATGTTTAAACCAACTCCTTATTGTGATCAGTGCAGGTAAAGTCCTTTTTGTGGGATTCAAAATCCTTTAGAATCTATCTGTCAGGCCTCGTGGATCAAACCATGTGCAGCTGGTGAGCTGCCCGTGGAAGTTTTGACCACTTTAGCGGAATGAATTCCACTGCCTTCTAATAATTAAACTGTAGTCAGTCTCTGCTAGATAAGAGTAAACTGAAAGGTCAAAGGTTAAAGTTCAAGACCTAGAGTGATATGGGTGCTTAAGTATAGACCTCCAGGATTAGCCACTAAAGACTTAACAAAAGACACAAATTGAGCAGTGGAATGACCTTTCTGATCTTATTTTACTTTATTGGACAAACATGTCTGAGATAAACTGCCCAGCTACAGTGTGTGTGGAGTCATTTGTGACGCAAATGTGCACGCTTTGGGTCACATGACAAGGAGAAGATTGCAGAGTTTTACATTCTAAACATTATGAATTAATCCAATATGGGCTAATGGATCATTAGACCGATGCATGAGGGTCATGGGATTGTCTGTAAAGGAAACCTTTTGAAACCGTGAAGAGGTGCTCATGCGTAGCACTGATATCATGAACATGGAGGAGGATTAAGGGAATTAGATGGAGGGAAAACAAGTGAATGAGATTCAACGGCGGGGTGACAGTTGTGTTTATATGAAAATGCTGTGTTGGTTTATTGTGCTAACTACGCACACTCACACAAGAGATGCATAAACTGTCAGACAGAACTTCTGATACTTCTGATACCACAAGCACCTACAAATGCACACACAAATACACCACAAACTTCCCGAATACTCATATCTCTCTGTGTTTTACTGACAGTGACTGTACCACTTTTGAGAAGGGTGAGTGGGTGTGTTGACTGGAAACAAGTAGCAGAGCCCAACACAAAGCCCTCTCAATTAAGACACTGTGGAGCAGGTTTAATCCCTCAGCATGAGCAGAGTAAAGATACTACAGCAGCTCAAACATTATTAGCAAATAGTAGGCAACTTGTCTGAGAGTCTGGTCTTCTTTTTTTTTGGTATTGAGTTAAATCCTAATGAATTATATTAAAAAATAATCTTGTTGGAATGTACTTTTCTCGTGCATTTAATTCAAATCTTCGCCAATAAGGGCCTCAGAGTTCTGGATACCTAAAACATGCAGCCCTAATAGTCTGTAGACTAAATAAAAAACAAACTTAATTTAATAGCAAAGTCAGAGTCTTGCAGGCGAGTAAGGACTGACCCACCAAACTGTGCAACAACCATCATTTATGCAGTTTATTTAACTTTTGCTATTCTGATTTTTTTCTGATCATTACTTGGGGTCGTAAATGCGAGTATATGCTAGCCTGTGGATAAGGGTAAAGGTCAAGGAATTGTTCTTAGAATTTACACCAAGCATGTGTGCTGGTGAGCCTTACTGCATCCTACTCTTTTCTGCTAGCTTGTCAATAGATTTTCTTGCTTTTGTTGATCTTGTGAATAAATCCAGTATCACCGATAAAATGTAAAATGACTCATTACAAATATACTTAGTCAGTCGCATGGTCGGCACTTGTTGATGTGCTGTGCACAAAACAGCGTTTTCCCTCATCCCCTTACCTCTGGAGTATTTCTGGTTATTCTAATATGTCTCAGAAGGACAACATCCTGCTGGCTCGTACATATGTTATAGGAGAAAATGTTTTAAATGTCTATGAACATCTGTGGTGGAAATGTTCTTTTTCAATGAGACATTTTTATCTTGTGGGCGGGAAAGATTGCAATTTTATTCAAAGAGAACTTTATAAAGTGGGAACTTCTCAGCATTGCACAAGGCGGTCAGTGCGACATACAAAACATGCTCTGATTATCCAGAAACTTACAATTAATAACCTTTTCTGTGGGGAAAGGGAGGAAAACTTCTGAGGTCCCTCCATGAAACGTTTTGAAATGTGCAGTAAAATTTAGATGTTAAAGCTTCACAGTCAAAACTTTAGACTTTTTGAATGATGATTCTTTTTATGTGGTGGAGCAACTTCTGCAAACACTGCCTCTCAAACAAGTTGACATTAATTCATTCATTAACAAAGAAGATGTAGGGCACACGCCTGTTGCTTTCATCGCACAATAATTGCTGCATTGTGCAGTTATCATTGAAGGAGGGGTTTAGCATTCTCCTTATTACTCACCATTACAATGAGGTCAGATGTTCCAATTTTTTCATTACGTACCAAGTCTTTACCTCCTTTGTCTCAAAACTGGATTCTTGACCTTATTCAATAGCAAAAACAAATCTGTCTCAGCTTTAGGGTTTCAAGATGGCAGTGTGGATCCAGGCTCAGCAGCTCCAGGGAGATGCTCTGCACCAGATGCAGTCGCTCTACGGTCAGCACTTCCCCATTGAAGTGCGACATTATCTGTCCCAGTGGATCGAGGGCCAGCTTTGGTGAGTTCCTCTTAGTCGCGTTTAAATAGTCCATTTTCATACTGAAGCGTTTAATCAATCATATGTGAGTACTTATGATGGCTTTTATTTTGTTATATTTTGTTATCAGGGATGCCATAGACCTGGAGAACCCACAGGAAGAGTTCAAGGCTAAACGCCTGCTAGATAGTCTCATACAAGAGTTGCAAAACAAGGCTGAGCATCAGGTTGGAGAGGATGGCTTCCTCCTCAAAATCAAACTGGGACACTACGCTAACCAGCTCAAGGTGAGTTGAATGCGTGCAGCTCCCCCTTCACATCGCATCAGTGATGAGCACACGTATAGCTTATGTTTAATTGGTGAAGGGACGAGGGCTCCATACGCATGCTCTTAGAACTAGAGTTATGCACAGTAACGACTAATAACGTTGTCCTGCAAAGCTAAGTGGATTCACATAATTAGAGCTTATTTAAAATAATGGGATTATCTTGCATGGCATGGTCACTCAACTAAGTTCTGTCTCCTGGGGCTTTTTCTTGTTATGAACACAGGGCAACCTACAGATATGTTCGGATTTTACTGTCTTACTTGTTGTATATTGCAGACAGTGCCCTCTCAGTTTAGCCTATTGTGTTCCCTTGCACAGAAAATAATTATTGAAAGTTTCAAATGTCCCAGAGGCTTGCAAAAGGTTTTGCTCTAATGAAAAATAAATCTTTTTATGGCCATCTACTGCAGATGAACTACTCAGTAATTCACAGAACCTCAGCTATAGAAAAGACATTTCCTGTAACGAAAGCTCTGTATTTTGAACACCCAACATATTTACACTTGATACAAAGTGACATATTCTGTAAACATACCAGACTCTGGAAATCGTGTTGGCCAAACTCAACAGGAGCAAACTCGACCAAAACAAAATTGCAGCAACTGTAAAAAAAGTTTATCTTTATCACAAAGAAAATCCCATTCAATGAATTGATTTATTTATTCGCGAAGGTTCCTATGATCTATTTGAATATAAAGTTCAAAGAAACTTTTCTACTACTTCTGTCCGTGCATTCATAAATCAGCTCCGGATTGTTTGATCTGACTTACTCCAACGTTTAAAAAAAAAATCTTGAGACGTTTGCAATAAAACTACGAGACAAGAACGTGATCATAATGCCCTGTGGTTTAGCTTTATTGAGTTATTGAGAAAAGAGCACACAGTATGTAAAGAACAGGTTGTATCAATTGTGAGGCAAACTGGAGATCGGCTCAAGTGAGTGCTGAGGTAGCCAGCCAGGGCTGCTATTTACGATCAGACATCCTGCGAACAGATGCCGTCCTCTGTTTGTCTTCTCCCCCTCCCTCCGATCACTTAGAGAAACAGGGAGAATGCAGTTGGAACTATTTATTGAATAGTTGTTTTTTTAGCACAATGCAAAATCCAAGCTGATCACCTCAATGTAAACGTTGAAACACGACTTGACTCAAAAGACACTCCAGGCAACAGACTCAAAAAAGAGCTTTTTTGAGGAGAAAGTGAAACGGCAACATAACTATCCTGCAGTACAAAAAAAAGGATAAAAAACACAATATCACAGAAACTCATAAACAGCTTAAGTGTGTGTACGCTTGCGAGTCATGTCCCTGGCGTGCACCACGCTGGGCCTCATTAGGCTAATGGGTTTTAGCATGTCAGCAGCGACGGCTCCAGAACTTAGCAGGCTCCTCTGATGTAACTAAATTGGTGTGTTCTGTGTGCGGCGCTGCTGAGCTCGTCAGGAGCTAACAGGCATTAACACAACTCATGGGCTCTTTGTCTTTCAGAGCACGTATGACCGCTGTCCTATGGAGCTGGTCCGATGTATCAAACACATCCTCTACACGGAGCAGAGGCTTGTCAGGGAGGCTACCAATGTAAGTCAGAGACCTATGTGCGCCGCAAACTGTGTGTTTACAGGCCGTCGCCTGCAGACAAACCTGCAATTAACAATAATAACACAAAGTGAGCTCAAATGACATAATGGTGTTTGATTCAGAGAAATGGAGAACTACTCTGTTTGCTCTGGTTGACACATATTTACACATTCCAAAGCTTTTTTCAATGATTTAGCGGATTTATGTGAAACCAAATGAATCCACTTCATAAACACTTTGTATTCTCTGTTGTAATTCTGTCATGTAAAAGGGAAGTAACAAAGTGTGAGTGAGCTATTTCATCGTTTATAACATGATCTTTGATATAAAGCCTCTCTGTATTCTCTGTTGTAATTCTGTCGTGAAAAAGGGAAGTAACAAAGTGTGAGTGAACTATTTCATAGTTTATAACGTGCTCTTTGTTATAAAACCGCGGAACCAGCAGTGCGTAAAATATCTGACTTTCAGCAGCCCCTGTGGTGTATCGATTTTCAGTCACAACACGCCTTTTCTATTAGAGCAATATATTAAGACTGACTGAATTTCCCCCTGTTTATTGTGAACCTTCGGGGCATCATGCTACATCGCACACAGTCAGTTCCTAAGTGACCGTGCACTCTCCTTTCATATGCACAGAGACCGTTTGCTTTGATGCCATTTTTGAGTCTCACACTATTTTCTTTTCGTCATTGGGGGTTCATCGTCCAATAGCCTGAACCCTGCTTACAGTCTGTGAATCACAGCTTAGTTTTCTTGCCCACACATTTTGACTTTCCCGGTTTTCGTCTCATCAGTGGTGATTCATTGGCATGAGATACCAGCATAAACAATCCTGTAGACTCTTTGTCTTTGCACCAATCTGCTATTTTCTCAATATCTATCAATCCTATTTTTCCAATTGTTAGTCGAGCTCTCCAGTGGGCGGGATCATGGACAGCATGTCTCAGAAGTATCAACAGATCAATCAAGCTTTTGAGGAGCTTCGCCTGCTTACCCAAGACACTGAGAATGACCTCCGCAAGCTCCAGCACAACCAGGAATATTTCATCATCCAGTACCAAGAGAGCCTTCGCATCCAGGGTGAGGACACGGGAAGTGCATGTTATTGTTTTTTCTGCTCTGATTTCCAGGAACAAATGATTTGACTGATATCAGACATGAGACGGTAAGAATGGCTGTTGTGTAGGAAGTTAGTGAGCTATTGATCGCGGGAAAAGCATTTTGAACTCAAGTCTTGGGTGGGATTGTATGCAGCTCGACTGAAATCTCTTGGTTAAGTTGAAGCTTAAGATTAATCTGCTTTTTTCAGCCGGTCATTGTAAATATTATGGTTTTAATCTATATATAAGAAGATCAGGACATATGCTGTTCACCAGAATGTCCCAGTACCAAGCAACTGAGATAAAAAAAACAATAGCTTTGATAGGAATTTTTTACTTTTGCTGCTACCTTTAGGGAAATTCTCAACAATCAGTCCCCCCAGGGGATTACATAGGTTGTTGCTGAGAGTGCATGGATTTGGCCAGTGTTTTCACCTGTCCCCGCCCTCCTCAGCTCAGCTGACCAGCCTGGCCACGCTGCCCCCTGCTGACCGTCAGCTACGGGAACCAGCCCTGCTCAGCAAGAGAGCCACTGTGGAAGCATGGCTGACGAGGGAGGCAAACACACTACAGAAATATAGACTGGTGAGAGTAAACCAGCAGAAGCACACACATCAGAGAGCTCATTCATTTCTGACTAATCGTCTGTCGTGCGCATATTGTTGTTATGAAATGTTTTTTTTTCCAAACACCCGCTCTGTCTGCTACATGGCTACTTGTGTGCAGGACCTGGCAGAGAAGCACCAGAAAACGTTGCAGCTGTTGAGGAAGCAGCAGACCATCATTCTGGACGATGAGCTGATCCAGTGGAAGAGACGGCAGCAGCTGGCAGGCAACGGGGGCCCGCCGGAGGGAGGATTGGACATCCTTCAGTCCTGGTGAGTTTTTTTTCCACCCCCTGCTGGGAACATATTCAGTAGACTCCCTCGTAAACCAAACAAGGGTCACGGATTTACAAGCTGGTTATGAGCTGCCACTGGGTTTATATCTAAAATTCATTGGCTCTTAATAAGAAAGATTAACTAAACAGACAGAGGCTCATATGTTGGCCTCTTACACCTGAAATTTGTACTTTTTGTTTTTTACTACCCTGTTAGTGTCTGTACTTTCTGCTGGAATGATCATTTACACAGAAAACAGTTTTATATGTCATTCTGACTTGTGTGTGTTCTTTGTGTGGTTGGGTGTACGTCAGGTGTGAGAAGCTGGCAGAAACAATTTGGCAAAATCGGCAGCAGATTCGAAGAGCGGAGCACCTCAGACAACAGCTGCCCATCCCAGGACCCATAGAGGAGCTCCTGAATGAGCTCAACAGCACCATCACAGACATCATCTCAGCTTTGGTCACCAGGTGAGTGTCTTTTAAGTCCTACCGACTTCTTCAAGCTGGCAGTTTTTCTAAAATGCTAATCTTGCTTCATCGATGATGACGACGATGATATACAAGTGAGGCCTGTGGATTTCACGAAAACTGTAAGCACAGTGGGAACATTTGGAATGGATCTTTCCCGCTGGTGTTATCGGCCTTTGTTAAAGAAAGTCCGACTTACTTTGTGGCGCCGTGGTCTTCAGAGATGGAGAGATAACACGTCTGCCTTAAATGGAATTGCTCAGGCATTCGGATCATTCATCAAATAATTTAATCCACATGAAAAAAAATGTATGGTGTTTGTGTCCCCCAGTTTGTAATAGGAAAGTTCAGCTCAGATCAGATCACTTTCTAGTCTTAAAGTTCTTAAACTTTGAAGTTGTGACCTGGAAAATTTCTTCTTTGATTTGTTTAAACTCAACAAGTGCATTATATTACATTCACTACAGCTAACAATCATATGTGTGTTTACTCTACTACATTATATAGCCAAGTAAAAGAATAATTCCTTCCACCTGAAGAGAGCTACAGAGATAATGAGCATACATTACACAATAACTTAAGGAAAGAAAGGGTACATGCAGTGTGTTTCAGTCCATTACTGCAGTCCCCAAGGGTGCATCTGCCAGGACATAAAAGCCCCTCAGCATCTCTGAGTAAGAGTACTCTGAAGTTTTTGACAGCATCCTCTCCTGCTTTCCTAGCCGAACGTCCCTACAGGGACCTCTAACACACTGGGAAGCCATGTCACTGTCACAACAATTTCTGATTGGCTACGGAGGAGCCTACGACCAGGCAGCAATGCACTGTTTTACACTCAGAACAAATGCAGGATATGTTCCCTCAGCAATATCTTTTTCTAGACGCCTCTCAAATCCCAGGAGGTCTCACACTGAGATAGTCAGAGTGTGTCTTTTCTGCACTGCTTGGTTGACTTACAGCTAAGAAGGCTTTAATGTTCATAACAACTTTGTTTCCAAGCTCCATCTAAACCTGAAGGATGAATAAGGCCAACCTTGTAACTGTCCTTCCTTATCGGTTTACTGAGTGGCAATTATTAACATGACCTTCTACAAAGGTGTGTGGTTACCCTTAGGGTCATTCGTAAAGGTAAATGGTCTTAGCCCTGCAGTTTAGCAAAGCTGAGTGGAACCTGTGGTGGTGTTTTAATGATCAACACTCGGTTCTCGGCTTAACAGACCGGACACATTGACATGTAATTGATTTGAATGAAACATGTAAGGGAACAAGCGTATGAAATTAAATTCTTCTTCAGCACTAATAGATACCCACATTTAGGTTTTCTTTAGTATCTAAGATACAGCGAATGTCAGTCTTGTGTTTGGGATTTGCAATAATCAGTTTTATGAACAAATGTTTAAACTGGCTACATAACCACAGTCATATATACTAAAAATAAAATAATAATCTCTTAGTTTAACAGTGCCAGCTGAATATACTGTAGAATTCTGACCATAACCATTATAGAGGTGCTTCTTCTGACACTGTGCAGTTGGCCTCACACATTCATATCTTGTTATCTAATGTGACACAGTAAGTACGTATTAAAATGATCCCTTGTAGTATCTCAAAAACATGTCCAAAGAAAAGCTGTTGCAGAACATAAAAGTTCATAACTCCACAAAAAAAAGCAAATAAAAGCCATGGATGTCGGTTGTTAAGGTGTAGATGAAGATACTAGGAGTGCTTCTGAATGCGCTTCATAATCTGTACAAGGTTGGAGATTTGAAAAAGCTTAGGTCAATCAAGGCTACTCCTAGTCATTCAACTCTGATGAGATAAGGTTTCTCACTGTATAGATAGTGTCCCTGTGTATAGACATACTCCCCTCAATGCCAGCAGTTTGCACAAAAACTCGCCTTTTCTGTTTATCCTTTTTGTGGTGATAATTAAATGATTGTGTTGTATGTAAAAGAAGATATTAGCAGCGAGCCTTTCTTGAATGATGACATCCTGGATTTAGATCAAAGTCTATATTTCATGTACAGTGTTTCCATGACGTTGGACTGAAAAAAGACGAGCCGGCTAAAGAAGCTGACTTTGCTTCTGTTGTATCTCTTCTTTGTCCACAGCACATTTATAATAGAGAAGCAGCCTCCACAGGTTCTGAAAACCCAAACCAAGTTCGCCGCCACAGTGCGCCTGCTAGTTGGCGGGAAGCTGAACGTGCACATGAACCCTCCACAAGTCAAAGCCACCATCATTAGTGAACAGCAAGCCAAGGCCCTGCTGAAAAATGAGAACACGAGAAAGTAAGTCGAGTGCATCGTTTTTTGTCTTTGTGGATCTAAAAACTTGATGTTGAACATTAAGAGTAACTGGTTTTAGACTTTTCACGGGGTCATTGAATCCCAGGGTGCACTGTAGCCAAGCGTGTTTCACAGACCTCACCACAGAGACATGACTGGAACTTGAACAATGCCTCAGAGGAATCTATGGTGTGGATTCAGAATCCACATTTAGCCCCTTTCACAGCCTGGTCCCACATTCGTCCAGACGTAAAGATATAACCCCAAATTAGGGGTCAGCTGGGCAGCTGGTGGGAGAAAGGGCGAGCAATTAAACGGCTCAGACATCATTTGCCTTGTTTCATTTAGTGTAAACAACTTGCAAACAGACGTCCATTCAATGTGTCGGATGAAAGAAGATGGGAATGGTGATAGTCACACATTCCAGCTGCAGAGGAATTAAGTGTGGAAATTATTCTTAGAATCGACATGAGTGTAATATAGGTGGTGATATAGTTCTTAACATGGACATCCATTAGATAAAAAGAAGACTCAATTGACTCAGGCCTCTTTTGTCTTGCTCTTTTTCAGTGACAGCAGTGGAGAAATTCTTAACAATAACTGTGTGATGGAGTACCATCAGACTACAGGCACTCTCAGTGCCCACTTCAGGAACATGGTGAGTACAGCTTCAAAGGTCTCTAAAAGTCATGTAAATGTATAATAAGCATTTATCTGCATCTATCAACCCTTTGCATACTGCCCTCCTTTGACTCAGTATTTTTTAAATATTTAACTAAACTTAGAATAAGTAATTGTTAATGGGTTGATACTTTAGGGCTGCTCCCCTCGGAATGGATGTCAATTATTCATCATTTACCATTTTTAGTGCTTTTGGAGTATTTTCTATATGAATAAATGTATAATGCAAGAAGTGGAAGATGTGATAACATAACATTTTGGTAACAGCTCAAAGAAAATAGCAAAGAGGTCCTGTTTTCGAAGGGGATCCCAAACTCTCCAGATCCCAGGCTGATCTGGTAAAATCACCATTCAGTATCCCTGTCTGGTGACTTTGAATTAAGCAACAAGCAGTGCTTCTGAGCCTCCTCCTGCTGCTGCATATCATACATGTTGTTAACAATCCCCAAGAGCTCTCTGTGGATTACTTGGATATCAGCTGTTTGAGTCAACAGTTCCTTATGCATATTCGTACTGTGTTTTTGGATTTACTAAGTGACTGCATAGAAAATAAACACTTAATATTATTCTTTTTTTAATCTAGTCTTTGAAAAGGATCAAACGGTCGGACCGTCGAGGAGCAGAATCGGTCACAGAGGAGAAGTTCACCATTCTCTTTGAATCACAGTTTAGTGTTGGAAGTAATGAGCTTGTCTTTCAAGTGAAGGTAAGAACACCAAGACAGACGGCTAAACCTTTGAAAACCTTTTAAAAAAAACAAATCCCTTGTTATTCCTGCAAATGTAAGAGCCTGCTCATTTGCGCTGTAGCTTTAGGGTCTTACAGGACACAAATTGAGCTGTGTGTGCCCTTTGAGAACCAAATCAATCCCACCTCTTTGCTCTCCTTATCAGCACTTTTCAAGTCTTAAAATATTGCTAATTTAAGCTTACGTGGCAAAGAGACAATTCCTATTTTGCAACATCTTTTGCGGTTAATTGTCGCTGCATTCTCTAATATGATGACCTCTTTTTTTCCTCTGAACAGACGCTATCTCTTCCTGTGGTAGTGATAGTTCACGGTAGCCAGGACAACAATGCCACAGCTACTGTTTTGTGGGATAACGCTTTTGCAGAGCCGGTGAGTTCCTATTTGTGTGAGCGCAAATGTGTATGCCTAATATCTTTTGTAGAGATGGTTATATTTTAGCCCTTGGTAAATATGTAACCTTTGCTGAAATGTTTTTGTACTGTTGATCACACAAAAGTCAATGCATCTTTTTAATCTTTTTTATCTACTCGGGGACCAAGTAAAAAATTTGAAATATTTCTGGTGATTGAGCAACTAAAACTCATGGTCCAAAAACCAAGCTGGGATTTTTCCCAAGATGTAAAAGGTCTCATCAAGTCATATATTTTAAAATTGCCTTTCAAAACTGAATTAATTCTGTTAAATCATTGGAGGATATGGGATTGTAACCTAGATCTCTGTTGTTGGACATAATATCTGATACACCAAACCTTTGTGTTCACTACAAAGTCATGCTCTATGATATACAGTCATAGGTTTAACATTGTCAGGAAAATGTAAGGGAAACATATATCCTTATAAATCCCATTAGCGATGTAGTTTTCGCCTTTGAACTCAGGACTGTGAGCATTCAGGGGACACAGAATTCATGATTTACAGAACTGCAGACTTGGATGAGTTAGTTTTTCACTCGGGCCCTTCTAATTTAGCTGGGGGTCAGGGAAGACGGCGTTTTTCATACATGGCTTATCTTTTACATGATAGAGCATGAACCTGCTTTGTTGGTGATGACCCAGTCGAATGTGCTCACAGGCAGACACTGCCGCAAACGTTGCCGAGCTCGTGTAGTGATTTCTGTGTTGGGATCATGTCCGTTTTAATGCAGTGCTGTGTGAGGACATGGAGGTTAAGAGCAACCAATATTGATTTAATGCCATGTCCTTTGCGAACACTCTGAATCTCATATTAAATATGTCGGATTATTAAAAGCTATTATTCTTACCTGGAATGATGAACACTTAAAAGCTTGACTCATCACATGAAATTAAAATGCACTGCTCTTTCTCTGCAGATTAAGATAGATTTATGTGACTTTTTTTATTATCTTTTGTAAAAATCTGTTTATATATTATTTCTTTGTTTTCCCATGACTGTTTAATGGCTTTTTAAGTATCCAAACTGTCTGTGATTAATGCACAGTCAATGATTTTGTAAAAAAAAAGATATATTTGAATGTATGTAGCAAGTGTGTCGTAATATATGTATTAGTCTAAGCATATTTTAGCATAATTTAGTTTCTTTCCTTTCTTACATTTCAACCCTTGACTTGCTCTCTTGTGCAAACAGGGACGGGTGCCTTTCCTTGTGCCTGATAAGGTGCTTTGGCCGCAGCTGTGCGATGCCATCAACATGAAGTATAAGGCGGAGGTGCAGAGCAACCGATGCCTATCTGAGGAGAACCTGGTCTTTCTGGCTCAAAAGGCCTTCAGCAGTTCCAGCAACAATCCTGACGACTACCGGAGCATGACGATGACCTGGTCACAGTTTAACAGGGTGAGCTCAGACCTCGCGCCTCGTGATTGTTTTTGCCATCGGGAAGCTTTCGCAGAAAGAATTCCATTTATTATTTGTTATGATCCATTCTTCTGAATGGATTTTTTATGATGATGCACTTAGATATTTTTTTTTCTCACCCATGCATTTTTAAGAAATCCCACTTCCAGTGTCTGTGAGATATTTCAACCACATGCTGACTTTCGTGGAAGTGTTTGCTGCTACTATGATATTCGTACATAAAAATATTTCTTGCTTCATTTGTGGCATCCCAACGGCACTAATCTGTGGTCAGAACTTGAGCGAGAATGCCTCATTGGTAGCCAGGTCCTCATTTTAATGGGCCTGTTTGTCCACAGAAAAATGCTAGAGGCCTCATTTTCTGGCTCAAAGCGGCCGCTGAAGGCAGTAAATGCGCCTCCATTCACCACACGCCATTATTCTTATTAGATAACAGGAACATTATGTTTCAGCCGCTTCGCAGCGGCGTGCTACGGTTATAGATGCACGGACAGCCTCACCCAGTCACACAACATGTTCGCATTCAGCTGCAAACATTGATGAACCATAAATGCATCTGGGGGGGAGGGGGGGGGCCAAAGTGGTTGACGTTGTTGACTTGGTGGAATTAAACAATGTTTTCAAAGATGTCGGGTTAAGTCCCGTGTGCTGTTTGGGAAAAAATGTTTTTCCTCAAGACCGCTTTTTGTCCATAGGAAAGCTTGCCCGGAAGGAATTTCACATTTTGGCAGTGGTTTGACGGAGTGATGGAACTCACAAAAAAACATCTAAAGCCACACTGGAATGATGGGTGAGGACGCTGCAGAGTGTTTGTTTTCTCAGTTTCTCAGTATTTGACAGTAAATGGTGGCAAAGGAGAAAAACTGAACTGCACTGTGTATGAAAGTCTGTTTTTTATAAGGGGCATTCCGCTCGCTGTAGACGGTGATGGTCTATTTTTAATTTCATTCTCTTTGTAGAGCTATCCTGGGCTTTGTAAACAAGCAGCAAGCTCAAGATATGCTGATGTCCAAACCCAACGGTACCTTCCTCCTGCGCTTCAGCGACTCTGAGATCGGAGGCATCACCATAGCGTGGGTGGCAGAAAATCCTAATAAAGCAGGTACAGTACGCAAAATGTTACATTTATAATGACTTTTCTTGGAAAAACAGGATTCAAGGCAGTAAGACGGATTAAAACTATTTAAAGCTTTCAGAAACTTGAAACAGCATCCTGACACCAGTAGCAAATCTCCACACACACCTCAGACGGGTGTCAGGTGGACCAATTAATACTTTATAAACGAAAATAGTTCAACCTTTTTTTATTTTTACAGCAGCCACAATTTGTTTGCCATCTTTTTCATAGCTAATTTTGGGCAGTTATTTTTGTTATTATTTCAGGTTGGGTTTAAGATGTACAGGCTAGATCTGTTGGCTATAACTAGTGAGAACAACTAATTATTGACATCTTAGTTGTAAAAGCAAAAAGGTTCTCAAAATAAGAGTGTCCTTTTCTCTTAATGATGACTAATTTCAGCACAGTGGTGTTTTTTTTTTTTTTGGGTGATGTTTGTGTTTGAATATTTCTGAGAAACTACATACATCTCCATGTCAGACCTCAAAATAAGTGCTAATGATTGGTTTAAGGGTGGTCACCACCTTAAATGAGTATCTAAAAAATCTCACAGAGGTGTTATTGTTGACAATGTGGGGTGGGCACTGTGTTTCCTTTAGGTGAGAGAATGGTTTGGAACCTCATGCCCTACACAACCAAAGACTTCTCCATCCGCTCTCTCGCCGACCGAATTAGCGATCTCAACCACCTCCTGTTCCTCTACCCCGACAGACCTAAGGATGAGGTTTTCTCCAAATATTACACCCCGCCACTCTGTAAGCAGTCCTATGTTTGCACGGGGCGCTTCCACTTTTGGGATTTGACATTTCAGTGTCTGTTGCTGAAGGAGTCTGAGCTGTTGGTAAATTTGTGTTTTGCCTGTGCTTGTTTCTCGTCCAAAGCCAAAGCCGTGGACGGTTACGTGAAACCGCAGATCAAACAAGTGGTGCCCGAGTAAGTTCCCGACTCGCCGTCCATCTCTCTCTCTCCTTCTCTTCTCTCCTGTTTCCGCTCTTTCACTCTTCTCCTCTCTGCTCTCCTCACGCCAGATTTCACTCTGAAGGAACATTTAGAGTTAATCACTAAGTACAGGGCCCTGAATTCAGATAAGCCATTACTTAGCTGTTTCAGTTGGAGGAGGCCAATTAGAGGTGGCCGGGGCTCCTGCGTGAGCTGGCCTCCCACTCATCATTAAGAGTTAGGCTTGTTAGTTAGCAAGCCACACAGCTTGTCTCTCTCCTCGGCTGGTGGAGAGACGAGCCTATAATGATGCCGGAGGGCCTGGGAAACACGCCGAGGATTGTTGCTTAGGCAACAGCTCAACAAAGACTCATTCTGTAGGCTTTTTAACCCTGTTCTATGTGTGTGTGTGTGTGTGTGTGTGCGTTTCTCTCTTTGTATGTAGATTCGCGACAGGCAATCCAGATCCAACCAGTGGAAACCCAACGTATATGGATCAAGGTGCCTCGCCGGCACCTGTGAGTCACCCCCACGCTTACGGCATATACCCTCCTATGTAAGTCACTGATTATGGACCTCTGAGCTGCTCTGTGCGAGCCCGTGTTCACAAAGAGTACGCTTTGCGTGCGTTTTTTGATGGTGTTGCGCTGCCAGTTGGTTTAAGTGCGGGTGACTCCTCTCTGTGCCCCCCCCCCCCCCCGGCAGGAGCGACTCTATGTTGGATGCCGACGGCGACTTTGACCTGGACGACACCATGGACGTGGCGAGGCACGTGGAGGAGCTGCTCCGGCGGCCCGTGGAAGGCCAGTGGGGCGGTCAGCAGTCCTGACCCCGGGCGTTCCCGTCCCCCCGCCTCACCAAACGAGTCCCGCCTCCCAAACCGCCCCCCACTCGCATTGACATGGTTTAATTCCATCCACCTCGCGTTTCTTTCATATTGCTATGATGTGAAATCGTTGCTAATGGTTGTGATTTTTTTTTCATTTTTTTTTTTTCATTTCAGAATGAGAGCAGGCATGTCAGTGATTTATTATAGTCCATAAATTATACGTCCATAAATCTTATAGTCCATAAATGTTTGTAAAGCATACCGGGTATAATGCAAAACCTCCAATGTTACAGTATTGTGAAGCAGAAAAGACAAAGTGTTGATCATTCACGTTGCTCATGCATTTTGAGTTGATTTTAAACAAATTGGGAAACCTATTCTACTGTATGTTGGGGTTTTTTCGGGATTTTGATGTTTTTAAAAAAAAAAATTCTGTTTTTTAAATGTGTTATCATTATTTTGATGATGACATCGATCTTGCCCTTTGATGAAGAAGAATCTTTCATGGAGAAAATGATTAGCTTTTGCTCTTCAGAATCATAACCGGAGTCACTGCTTCTCAGTTATTCAAATGCGTATACACTAACCCAAAGGCTGTGACTCCCTTTGCTGGCTGCCACTGACAGCACACGCATCTGCACACGGTGTACACCTAAGATTTATTTGTTTTGATTTGTTCACCAGCTGTAAAGGAGAGGACTTTATGCACCTCCCCTGCTCTCACAGGGCTATCTGTCTTCTGTTTGTACACAGAAATGCAAATCTCAGCATTTACCCGCCACTGCCTGCTTCTCCTCTCAGGTCCCTCTGCTCCCCTCGTCGGATGCTACCTCGCAATTATTCTACTGACAGTTGCTTCGTTTGACGCCGTTTTTTTTTGTTGTTGTCGTATCTGCATCACATTCTTATCCGTAGGTACAGTCAGTGTTTTTGCTCTCGTACTTTTGCGTGTCATGGAGCTCCCCTTGTTGCACAGGCAAGCTTTGCCGGCTGTTTTACGCTTAAATCCTCTCTTCACGAAGGAGTGCGCAGACATGAAGTGTCTTGTAACTAGGAGTGGTATGCTTGAATATTTTTGGCCGTGCTTCTTCTGTCTAACTCTCCCGCCCCGCGCGTCCGTTTCTTCTGGTGAATGCGTGATGAAACTGTAGCAGAACAGCTGCGTGACAACACCGCCGAGCGCTGTCTCCAGAGCTGCTGTCACATTCAGAATTCTAGGACGTGAACTTGCTGTTTCCTTCTCTTGTCTTTTGTGGTCGGTCCTGACACATTTACCTTGCGCATCCCCCCTTCTCCCCACACATCTGAATTCATTGTCGACAAAAGTCTCGCACCTCAGGAAAGAATAATTTTTGCATAACCAATGTTTAAGCGAAGAAGATAATTCTATGTATACAGAAAGTGATGATTTTTTTTAATCTAACATAATTCTATTTTGCTATGTCGTCTTTCCCCCCCCACCCCCACCCCCAGATGAATGTAATCACTTAAATTCAATACCTAGCGATTTATAGCTGATGTCACATGACCAGAAGTACTAATTTGAAAAAGGATGTAGGACAACTGGCAATCAGAAAATAGCTTGTGACTTATTTTATGTCTTTCAAAGATTTTCAGCATTACAATATTTCAAAAGAATCCCTTATATATTTCACTTAATGTTTTTTTCTTCTTTTGCTTTTTTTATTTCTTTTGTAGGAATCTCAAGCCACATTTGGTGGATTCGTGATAGATCTGTCATTACCATTCTTCTCATAATTTTTGAGCTTTGTTCCACGGTAGACTGTGTATTTTCAATGATGTAGATGGCGCTGTGTGTTGTTTGATGTTTGTACCATGGTTGTTGTTTGGGTTTCACACTTGGAAGTTTTCCAAGAAACAGAGTTGTTGAGTTGAAAAGAGTAAAATAAAGTTTTATAAATAAATTGAACTCAATTTGTGGAAGTTGAAAATACTTTTTTTATTTTTTCAAAGAAAAAATACTTTTTTTATGGCTGAAAATGCAGGAACCCTGATCAGTTCCACGTGTGCGAATGTTTTCGGGTAACAGAAAAATACTGTGGTAGGATATGAATTTAAAGCCTTGTGAATTAAGGACTTAGAAGTAAGACAATTCAAAGTGCTTTACAAAGAATTTAAAAGCAGAAAAACAAAGAAAGAAAATAAATCAACAAAATAAATTAGATCAAAAGTGAAGGGTGCAGATAAAATACATTCAATTTCCATATGACAGTTAAACGGAACCGTATTCAGCCTGGATTTAAACATTGTCAGAGTTGGGGCCTGTTTCAAGTAGTACTCTTTAACTCTTTAATTGAATTAACCTAGTTTCCAGTGCCGCTCTGCTCAGGGCTCCATGGTGGCGTTGTGTTGGACGTCTCACAGTAAGAAGGTTCTCGGTGGGAAAATCCTGTGTGGGGCCTTTCTATGGGAAGTTTTGCATGTTTTTTTCGGTGTATTGGTGGTTTCTCCCCGGGCATTTCTTCCACCATTCAAAATATGCATATTTGGTTGACTGCTCATTCTGAATTTGCACAAGGAGTGAGTGTTTGTCTATTTGTTTTTTCTCTGTGTGACCCTTTGGTGCACGGAGGACCTGTGCATGGCTTAGCTTGCCTCTGGGCCTTTGGCTGCCCCATGACCCTGAACGGAGGGTTGATTCCATAGAAAATGGATAGAGTTGCTTTTGTAACCTGAGTTACTTCATAGACACTGGCGTTTTATATTATGTTACATTATTTTTTGTTGTCTTTTTAATTGCTTAATAATAACATAGCACTTTTCATATGTAGAAAATGCTATTTAGGGATTTCCTTTTATTATTCATGAGAATAATAAGTTGGCCTATGATAACAAAAACAGTTTCTGCAGCACTGTTCCTGTGTGAAACATTTAAATGGTTATTGAATTTGATTCCAATTAACAACAGCACAAAGCTCGTGTAACTTTTGATAAGAGGCCTCCAGGACAGGAAATGCTTTTCTTATTGGCCACAACTGTCAGAACTAAAAGGGAAACGTCAAATTAAAGAGGAAATAGAAGTAGACAAAAATCATTAAAAAAAATCACATGACTCTTTCTTTCCTAGCATCAGTATTGCGTAAAGAAGTCTTGCCATAAACAGGAGAGGATTCAACAGTCTGATCTCAGTAGGTTTGTTTCTGCCATCTGGTGGACGTTGTAATCCTTGGTTTGAATGTGTGTGAGTGCTGGCACATGCACATATCATCGAGCTCACCCTGAAGCGTCGCAGTGAAATAAGACAATCAAATTTGCATTTAATTAATTCCAATGTGACCAGTTACCACTCGAACTGACATTCAGTTTTATGAGTATTTGAAGGTCAGAAATCCACTTACTGTTTCCACCATAGAATTAATTATTAATGTTTATTAGAGTGGCTTATGTTCCAGTTCTGAATTTAATTAAAGTTTAGACAGCTACAAGTTTGTTTGGATATCATCTGCAATCATGGCAAAGGCGGTAAAATAGAGCAAGAGCTGCTCTGTTCCTGTTCTCCATAGTCAGGGTTCCTGGTCCTGTTATAATTTTTTTCTTTTTCTTAATCTTTTCTGCTCTTTTAATCTGCTTCTGCCGTATTACTGTCAGCAAACTGAGTTTCAAGTTTTAGCTCTGTTTCAAAGTTTTTTTTACAGAATCAGACTGGGCAAAGGAGGTTTTTTCCAATTTCTTCCCTTAAGATTTAAAATATATTAAATTAGTTTTTTTATTCAAAAGTAGTTCAACTCAGGAAAGTAGTTTTTTATCATTGTTTGTTCAGTTAATTCCAACCTGATTATGACTAAATACTAATTGTTATTTATTTTACGAACACTATTCATATTTTAGATTTGTTTCCCTCAATGATGCTTTAGAAATAGATATTGGTTTTATTAGATATATACACATATATCTAATGAAACCAAACTCATTCCAACAAATGTAAAAGCAACAGCTCCAGGTCTCCCTGTCAGAGGGCACCGGATACCACTAGATGTCAGTAAAGCATAATAAAAATACAGGGCTGTGTTTCCCTGTTACTGATTTGTTTTTTAAAGTGATAGATTGCATTTACATTTCAGTGGCCTTTCTGTTTTTCAGGGGTCGAAATTCCAGCTCAGTATCATTATTAGCTCGATCTTATTCCTTGCCCTCAGTCTAATTTTATTGTTTTGTCAGGTGTTGACGACGGTCGAAGTTTCCTCTATTCTGAGTGCCGTCTGTTCTGAACACGAACTGAACATAAACATTTACACTTTTTCCATCCTGGCTCAGAGACATCCAGGATCATTTCAGTTTAACTTTAATAAATCATGAAGACTGATAAATTAAAACCTCCTGAAGGACCATGTCACATCTAGTTTCGTAGATTCTAATTAGTTAAATTCAATCTGGATTGTGCTTTTGACAAACAGTGAAAAAGCAACGCCCTTTAAAATTACCTATGAATCTAATTTCAGTTCCGTTTTTTACTGTTAATCATGTGAGCAATCACAGGAAGAGTGCTCTGCTCCCCAGCGACAAACGACAGAAACCTCCTTTATGAATTCCTGTATTTGAATTTACAGTACACAGCATATGCATCTATTTTTATCTATCAGTATCTCCTCCTGAAGTTTTGAATGATTACTGTAACTGTTGCTGTTAACGCTTCCAAAGAAATAAAAAAGGTGGTAAGGAACAAAGTGAACGAGGGCATGACATAACAAATGAGCAACTTTTCTTCTCTTGTCTTGTTGGATGGGTATACTTGATCGAAAGGCTAAATGGGGGAGATGTTTTAGGTTTGATAGAGGGATTATCCATTGGTCTGAACCTACAAACTATTGCAAAACGAGGGAGCGATGCCTTACTGTACGCAGCCATGGCTGACATCCTGTCACAGGAAATTATGTCAAACCTCAATGGAAAAAAAGGTCTTTCTTTAGAATACCTTTGGCATTTTAATTCTTGCTCATGCTGCTTACTCTGTACTTCATTTTCTGTTCTCATTCATTGCTCTGTTTTAGCTAGTTTTTTTCCACAGTCGAGATTTTTTTTAAATCCTTTTCCATCAATCATGATCAGGTTGATCAATAGGGTTTAATGCAGTCAGAGAAAAGAGAGACCATCCATCATAGTGTTTATAGGTAGATTAATCAAACCCTCAAAATATGCTGACTGGTCACATCTGGAGTTTGGAAACTGGTCGTCGCCGGCCTTCTTGCATTATAGTCAGACAGCTGGGCTGAGCGAAGAGGCTTTTAAAAGCAGAAGTTTCGCTAAATTATTTCTGATAATACATTATGCATGACCCTGAAAGATCATGAAGGAAAGTGGAGGCAGCAGTGAGTGAATGAGCGCAAGACAGGG